TTGATTATTATGACTAACGTGAAAGATTCTTTGATGTCCAAAGAACTGAAGGAGCTCCATGATGACCACTTGTGTATTAGCCTTTCGACGCCGCAAGATAATTTATCCATGTCCACTTTGTGCAATCAATGCTTCCAAGCATACCTAGTAAACCATGTATTTCTTAATGCGCCGCATTTAGTTGTTGCATATCATTCAATGAAGGTTTGCGCAAGTATTTGTCACCAAAGGTTTCGACAACACCTCTTGTAAATCTTTCTCGTGCAATTCTCTCGGACATTCTCATATAATCGTCAATAGAATCGGGTGACTCCCCCATAGCCATAAGCCTAAACATCTATTTAATAGGTAACAGTTGTGAGACTCATTATTACATGAGTTAATTTAAAAAAAAAAGTTAAATATAAAGGTCTAAATATTTGAGAACTTTGAATTTATAAGAAAATAAAAAAAATAATGAATTCTGATTATAATGGAAATGTTTTTTATCTTTTAAATTTAAACAAATAATTTAAATAAATAAACAGAAAAAACTAATAAGCTTTAATTTTGGGAATTGTGAAATTAAAATGTAAGTTCATTAATAAAATTGATATCTATTTATTACTATATTTATTGCAATTATTATATTCAAATATTATATAGAATTTAATAAAATAAAAAAGTCATAAAATGACATGTGAAAAAAAATTATTTCAAAATAACCACAAAATGACATTTAGCAAATTGAGTGAGAGTGTGACAAGTGACAAAAAAAACCTTATTTATTAGAGTACAAAATGTGTATTTATTTTATATAAAAGCTACACAACAAAACTTGAAAGAAACGATAATTGTTTTCCAATGTCTTGGCTATCCGTTCAAATACATTTTTTAGCAAATGAAAACTTCTTTTGTAATCTCTAGGTTGGTAGACACAATTATCGGCAAAATAATTGTTAACTACACGTCTATGCCCTTCTTCGTGATCTATGTTTAACGCCACACATCGTGTGAGTAGTGGAGTTCGATCGGGTTATAGTAGCACGTCCGTAGAATACCGGTACATCATAGTCACAAAGATATCGTCGTCGTCGTTATCATCGATGAACAGGTGGAACTGGAAAAACGAATCCATTTTTTGTTTTGATCTTTTGAAAGTTTATAAGAAAAAAAAAGAAAGTGGTAAAAACTAAGGTGTTGTTTTTATGTATTTATATAGGTAATTGTTTTTTTAAAATGAATATTACCTTTTTAAAACGGTCAAATGAGCCACATTGCAAGCCAACGTTTGAAAATTTTCCCGTTACCCTTCGTTACCATCACAATGCCTCACAACATAACTCCAAGAAACGCCGGGCGGGGCGGTGTTCTATAATCGTAACGCTGTTACCGGCTTGTCCATGTCACAAAACACCCACTCGCGTTGCCCATATCATGCAATCTAAAAGAAAAATGTGCAAGGGCATGTGTACCATGTCCTTATATTAGGACAAAAGGACATGGGATCAAGAACTAGCCAGTCAAATGATTGTTAGTCACTTAAATTATATTTATTTTTTTCAGTTTGTTTATTGTAGTATATTCATATGATTGTGAAGTTGTTAAATACACCCAAGTGGAAGCCTTCGTGCCTCCAAGTGACTGCATAGATTATCTCTTATTTGGTTTTCACAATTGTTCATCAGAATTGGTCAAATGGACCAAGATTCTCCATAATTAGATGTACCCAAACCGGGCAACAGAAAATGTCAACCAACCAACTTCTTTTCTGATACATTGTTCACTTTCCTTCTTAAGCAATATCACATTGAAAATGTTCTAATTGCCAGAGATAAGAAACAGTACACTCTTTTCTTTTCTTTGATACTTTTTTTGAAAGATAAATCACATACACCTAAATACACTTTGAAATCTACACCTCTGTTCAACCGGACTCAACCATCAACCTATCTGCTGAGGACACCTATCTTTCCAATAACTTCAGGGACCACTAAGCCACACGCCCTTTTGTTTGTTACAAAGATTATTTAATAAACCAGCATAATTTCGTAAATGAAGATTGCCCATGGAAGAGTGATAATTATATAATTTGTAGCTGAATTCGTTTTCTAATTACTTGGAAGGCAGTTCTCAGACACGGAGTGATCAACAAATTCTTTATTTTGTTATTTTGCCAATATTCACAAGGAGTTAGGATTTTTGAATATATACTTACTGAGTTTAAAAACATAAGATATTGTGCCAAACATACAATACACGTTCACCGTTTAAAAGTCCACACCCTGTTTGATTGGAATATAGTTGGTAAATGGAGCTACGGTTGACAATGTAAACAAGACAGACTGAAATTAAAAGGTCATCAAAAAAGTTTGGATTTAAATAAACTCTAAAACAGCTCATCCATAGACGCATTCACAGGTGACTTAGTTATCATCAAAGCTATAAATTGAAGACTCTACAACTTCCTAATCATCTCTCCCTCTGTGCATGTGTCTCTAAGCAATATGGCAATCCATAAGCACATTGCATTTCTTCTAAAATTTTTGCTAGTTGCTCTTGTTTTTGACATCGCCAATGGCTATCCGCTAAAGTTAGGGTTCTACCAAAAGACGTGTCCCAGGGCTGAGGCTATTGTAAAAAGGACAACAGCAAACTACATTTATCGTGCTCCTTCTCTTGCTGGTGCTTTGCTCCGAATGCAATTTCATGATTGCTTTGTGAGGGTATGTGCAATAACAACGTGCATTGCTTATCTATTTTAATTAATCTTATTAACTTTAATTTATGATAGAAATTGTGTGATGAAATGATATATATGACGTTTCTACAGGGATGTGATGGTTCTGTGCT